GCCTTAATTGGCATTAAATTCATTAAATGTGATTATCATGGCATTTAAAATGGTGTATATCAGACATATCAGATTTAAATGGTTCCACGTTTTTGCATGGTTGTTCCTGGATGATCCTAAAGCCACAGAAAAAGCTAGAGAAAGGGAAAATGCTAATTTTAACATAAGTGGCTGGAAAAGGAGAAATTCGGGACATGGCTGCAGCCTGTCGATGGTAAAGATTATGATATGTATATATATATATATATATATATATAGGTAATTATTGATGGCATAAAAATGATTTCTAAAAGCATTATAATAGCATTAAAAAGCATTAAATTAGAGTTCCTCCTTCCTGTATAAACCCTGTTAAAGATCTGATAAAGTTTATTGTTTTTTTTAATCTAATAACTTCCCTCGGTAAAAACTCGGCCTCTTGTTTTCCAGGATTCACGCAGAGTTCCAGCTGAACGACGTTCCAAACTTTCCCTTCTGGTTTACTCCGGGTCAGTTCACTGGTAACATCGTCCTGTCTAAAGATGCTTCCCACGTCCGCCACTTCCACCTCTACGTTCCCAGTAACAGGTAAAATGCTGCTTCTTCCGTTTCGTTCTTTCCCCTCTGTGATGCTGACGTCGTATTGTGACCTGTCCCGCCGCGCCGCAGGTCGCTAAATGTGGACATGGAGTGGCTCTATGGAGCCAGCGAGAGCAGCAACATGGAGGTGGACATTGGATACCTGCCACAGGTAGGAATAAACCTTTGCTTTCATCCTGTTTTCACTTCATTTTCTGCTCTTCTGTAGATTAAGGTTTTTCATTTCTTAAGACTTTTTTAAATTCAATTTATGTCATTTTTTTTTGTGGTTTTTAGGCCTCAAACAGGCAACACAAGGTTCAGTGTTTTTGTGCCAAAATTAAATGGCACATATATCATGCAAAATCAACTTTTTAAGCTTATAACTATGCTGTAAAGCTTCGTTCATCTAAGTCATAACCAGAGTGGTATTTTGCTTAATCCAGGCATGTTTTTAAAAACCTGTCCTGGTAAATCAAGGTAAAGCTGTCATTACCGTTGTTGCAGTCAAGCACCTAGCCTGACCGCGCCACGCCTTCTCAGTTAAACACACGCCCACTTTCTCTGATGGGCGAGGGGTGATGTGAGGCTGAGCATCGCTGTTTCGGCTCAAAGTTAAGATAAAGTGTCTCCTTTATCTCCTAATCTGCACAGTGACGGCAACTGTTTCCAGTTAAGGTCTGAGAACACCAGACACATTTTAGCATTTGATCCGATGGTAAAATAAGCTGTGCAAACACACCTGAGCCGTGTTCACCTAAAGGGAACACATTAATTAGAGGCAATGCCTATAACATGTCAATCAAAACAAGAAAATTAGTAATATAGTCTTTAGTTTTATGTCACTGAGACTATTGTGCTATTATCTGATCAAATGCAGGTCAAAAAGACCCTCAGCAGACTCCAGATGGCTCAGAATGGGGCAGAAAGACTTGCTCTGGGATTTACATTTGGAACCCATGTTTCTGTTTTGCATCAGAGAATTTTGAGGATGGAAGTCAAAAATAGATTGGGTTGTTCTTCTTTGGTTTCTCCTCATAAAACCTGGACCTCAGCCTGTTCTCTAAACTAGAGCCTACTTACAGCAGACACAGGCTTAAAGAAATAGTACACCCAAAACATGATTAGCCTTC